CAAATTAACTGCATATTAAATGGTTGGTAGTAATTACAAATTTTGGAAGCCTAATGACCGGTGACAAATTTTATTTCTAGCCTGTTAATAATTACTATTCAAATTTAATGTGAAAGGATTTGTTGATGAGATAAGTTATTCTCAAAATATAAATTATCTTTAGGGGGGGGAAATGCTTCTTTTTTATTTTGGAATCTTAATTGATATTTAATAGTTAGGCTACAATCCACTTACATGAAAGTAAGCCCATTTAACTTAATGGGGCTTACGTCTATGTAGACATGCATAAGATTGCAGCGATAGTATATTTTTCAAGCTTGTGTTTTGTCTCTCTGTGTATATTTTTTGTATAAAAATAATAAAAAAATTCTCACTTCCAATTACACAGGGGTTGTTGTTTTTATATAAAAAAAACCCTGAACAATACTTTAATATAATAAGCACATGTGAAGAATATGAGGATAAACAGGGCAAGGGGATCATGATTTTAAGCCTTAGGTTTCAAATGCTTTCATGGAGTCTGAACCAAAGGGCATTGTTATCAAATAACTGGTCATCCTTCCATTCTTTTCTGACATCACTCTGATACCTGAATTACTGATATAGGAGGTCCGGTGGATGTCATTAGCTTTCCCAGATTATTTATAATCGATCACTTTTATTTGCTGACCATCTTTAAAGCGGTTATGAGGTAGGATGCAATGACAAGATCACGGGGTCAAGTATGGCTGTTTCAGTTGCTTGTCCAATATTGACAATTCAATGTCCACATACTGTTTGCTTTTGATGTTACAAAATTCCATGTCCTTCTTCAGTAGTTTTGCACAGGAAAATCATGTCTGGGTAGTTTGTCACACTAGTCTATTTGAAAGTTTCTCCTATGTATTTGTGGAAGCCAGCAGTTAATTTAGATCTCTAACTCGTCTGTGGCATAGGAAGGCAGTGTTTTTTTTTCTTTGTACAAAGAAGGAACCTGAGGTTCCAGTCTGTCACATGACTCACTTAAGCACACAGGGCACACTGGCAGTCAAGGCTAAATCCCAGGTCTTCAATTTGTACACCTATGAATATTTTACTACAAAGTGTAACCCAAACCAACACTGGGTAGTAGCTGAATACGTTCTACTCAGAGGAGACCCAATGAAATTAATGAACCTAACCTTTTCATGCTCATTATTTTCAAGGGGTTGAATCTAAGTAGGACTAACATTGTAAAGTTGAAAAAGACCACAAGGATACAGCCTATTGCAATTTTTACTTAGACCCAACTTTCTTCTAACCAATTCCAAATCCAAGTTTACTAATTAAAACATTCAAATGACTCCTACAATAAAATGATTTTTTAAGAAAATTAAAAGTGGTTGTTATTTTTGTCAGTGGCGCCCTTCCCGTGGAACTCCTTCCCATCAGATCTCAAGGAGATAAAGAACTGCACAACCTTTGGAAGACATCTGAAGACAGTCCTGCATCAGGAAGTTTTATTATGTTTTTATTATTTTATTATTTTAACATTTTATTATGTTTTTATATGTGCTTGAAGCTGCCCAAAGTGGCAGGGGAAACCCAGCCAGATGGGCGGAATGTTGTGAGCCACTTTGGGTACAATTTTGTGGATTGTGGTATGGAAAGAAATAGATGATGATCACAAGTACTTGATAATAGAAATCTACTTTGATCATAAAGAAAGCTGAGGAGGGATTAAAACCACTGGAATGCTCAGGCTTCTTAGGGCTGTATGACTCCCTCATATAAACCCAGAGGTTCATTGCCTACCCCCCAAACTGGCAATATTTAATTGTAGTGGATTTACTCATTATGAATTTTCATTCTCAAATGACGCTTTCAAGACTGTGGGAGACAAAAATCAGCTGAAACTGGAGAGGCTGATCCCAAACCCACATCTCTCAGGTCCTATTTGTAGGCTGCATATATCCTGAACTACATATTTTTATTAGCTAATAAAATTCTCTGTCTAGTTGTTACATTATGTACTGAGTACACATTTAAGGCATGTTATGCAAAATAACCATATACAAATTTGTGTTTACCAACAATTGCCCCCACATTTTCAAGTCCCACTTGCCAAAAATTATGGCCAGAAACATATTTGGTGTCCCCTCACTGCCATTTAAACAAATGCTGAAGTTTTCAAACTGCTGAATTTTGCACCATGTATAATTGTACTGAACTAACATCCCCATAAATTACTCCGTCAAGGAGGGAAATTTGTACCAAAGAGAACTAGCAGAAAGAATATGCAGTTGATTTTTCTGCTTCTTATGCAAGTACAAGTCAATATTATTCAGACACAAATCCTTAATTATATGCCTGATTTCATCTATTCTATTCTTTTGTTTCAATTACTACTGCAAATGGTAAGCTCTCTGTATTTTGAGGCACCAGGCATTTCCCTAGAGCAAAATAAATGTTAAAAAGAGCTTCTACAGTCACAGGTGTCTCTGCTCACCCATGAAGCGCTCTGGGTGAATTTACGGTAAGTCAGTCACTTACTCAGCCTAAGTACCTAAGGCTATAATAATAAAATGGGGAAATATTTTTTTTCCATTCTGAGCTCAGTGGAGGAAAGGCGAGATACAAACGAGTTCAATTTTGAGGAATTCTTACCTTTAAACATAATCTACCATGCATTGTGTAATAGCAATAGGTTCCTAGTGTTTCTTATTTCATTATACTAAATCTCTGCATTGCTCAAAATGTGCCTTATCTTTATCCCTTAATATTATTCAGTACTGATGAGCCTGCAACTAACATACAGGCTCCCTGCCAATTTAAATAAGTTTGACATTTGTGCCTCTGAATTCAAGGCTGTGAGTTTTACCTCTGAGTAAACAAACATGCACCAGGCCACTAATATGTTGCATTGGTGAAAATTTCCTGCTTCTTCCTACAGAAGGGATGACTGCAGGGCTGACTGATACATGTATGTTCACTGCTTACTACATTTAGCATCTGGTGCTCACACTAATGTGTGGAAAGAACCCGTTACGGAAAAAAAAATCGGTTATATTGCTATTTTCTAAGCACCTGCATTTATTCTGATTTGTTTCAAGAGAGATGATATGAAGTTGAATTGAGCAACTGTTATTCTATTTTTTTCCAGTGTAAAATTATGGGGGGAGGGTGTTGAGCAGGTTCGTTGCACAAGATCAATGTTAACTGTGCAACATGAATTTACAGATACAGTATGTGACTGTATCCTTCCCAAAAATGACAGTCTGGAAGTGCCGCATGCGATGCAGCCCAGTTGTCATTAAGGTGGTTATGGTAAACCTGTGTCTGAGCTGCACGAATTCAGGCAGGAGGTGGACTTGAACTCACAGGACTTGGAACACAGAAAAGGAAACGTCAGTGTGTCAAGACTTCTAAGCCTGCTGTTCTCCCTGACCTGCTAGCTTGCGGTGCACAGAAATGCGTCGCCATCCCCCGGAAACAGGGGCGCATTCCTTCGCGTGAATCCCCCTCCCAAATCTTAAATGGCACAATCCAGGCACCGGGTTTGGCACCTCAGTGCTCATCTGGTAGGAAACGTTACCAAACACAGGAGACCTATTTGAATGCACTTTCTCTCCAAAGGAAGGCTCGTGCTTTCCGAATCCCAAACGTAAAAGGAGCAAAAGTTGGTGCAAGCCTCCCTCGCTGGGTCGGAAAGTGGGGCGCGGGAAAGCCCAAGGAATCACTCTCGATGCTTGACGGAGGAATCCCACTATGAATGAATGGACGGGCGGATATAAACCAAAAGGTCCCCGGGACCCACTTTGCGCGGAAGGGGAGGCCGAGAAGTCGGGGAGGGGGTGAAGAAACGAAACCCAACGCCGCCCAAGTGACGCTGCTGCCGGGCTGGGGAGAGTCCCTCCGAGTTCCCCTTCCCTTCTTCGCCGCCCAACCTCTCACCATAGCGGAGCACTCGCTTCTGCCGCTGACTCGTCCTGCCACGGGCGTCAGCCCCGCTCGCAGCCACCTCAGGCCGGCCCAGGCGCCGCCTCGCATGGCTCCGGCGTGGCTTCTCCGCCCGCCCACCTGACGCCTCCCACGGGAAAGCGCATGCGCCGCCCACTCCCCCTCTCCCCGGCTGAGGGAGAGGCGGGATGGAACCGCAAGCCTCCTGCGCGAGAGGCCGTCGCTCTCCCCGCCCACTTTATTTTCATTATGCCCTGCAGCCTTTCTTAACCTGTGGGTCCCCAGATGTTGTTGAACTACAACTCCCGTCACCCCTAGCTAGCAAGGCCAGAGCTGAGGGATGATGGGAGTTGTAGTCCAACATCATCTGGGACCCACAGGTTGAGAATCGCTTCAAGCGCATCTAGCCCCTTGGCCTTCTTCTGCACTGCTGCTACCCCAGCCTGAGTCAGCTTCCATGGGGGGAGGGGGGTCACTTGGAGACCGCCTGGCCTGCGCTCTCACAGCAGAACAATTTTTAGAAGAGCAAAGGTGTTGTGGGGAAATCTCCTCCCAAAGGTTTGAGCCACCGGCCTTGTCCTTAGTGAGGCGCAGAAAACAGCCGCCTGATGTTTTCCCACAACAGCTACCACCTTTCTCAGTACCTGGCTCTGTCCCTACTGCCTAGGGCTTCATGAAAGAAAAACAGACTTTCCTATTGTACTTGCCCATCTGCATTACCCTCAGCAGACAACTCACAAGTTTACCTGACCACAGTGAAGGAAGTCTGCTGCCACTGCATAAGGATTGCAGGGCAATAGCTGCGCCACAAACGCACTGCTAACTCTCCCACCTGCACATTTGAAGGATGCAAAGGATCTAGCAACTTGTACACCCAGCTCCCAGCTTAATGAATGCACCTGAACTTCAGCCAACGTGGACAGAAGACAGCGACCACAGCCATCTCCAGAGCTGAATGTAACCTACAGTTGCTTCATTAGATATTTCTTGGTTTCTGGTGCCTTGTGTGATTAAAGCACTTTAGTATTCTACACTGAAAACCATGCCAAGACCACCACTGAAGATGCCCAAAAGGATACTTAGATGTTAATGGATTTATTATGATACAGAAATCTCTAAAATGCAATAGAACTTTGGTGCTGCTGTAGTACAGAATGTAGAATGTAGCTAGCTTCATTGGATTGTATTGGCTACCCTTAAAAGGTCATACTAATTTATATAACACATCAAAATAAGAACAGTAACATGAACAAGTAGAGATACACCCTTTCAAGGTTATCTAAGTTCACAATAGTGCTTAAATTACATTAACATTGCAAAACATGGAATATGGGGTAAAAAGTATGTTTATTATCATGTATGTGTATTCCTCCCATTCGTGTTTTCTGACCCTTTAGAACGCTGAAACATATATTCCCAGTTCAGCCATAAATAAATGTCAAGTTCGTGTATCAGTAGTCAGTGCAACCTTACTAAAAGCTCTGACATGTTAGCAGCAGAAGTGTCATCCAAATACTGTGATCATAGCACCACATGTGTGACAGCATCAAATTGACAAGAGAGCCAATTCATACAAATTCCCTACTTATATATTTTTTTTATGCGTGTAGGGAAAACATGGGGGTCAATTGTTGCAGCTCCAAATCTAGCATAGTTAAAATGACCACCTGGGGTGGCTCAGGAAACTTTCTAAAAGCTGCATCTTACACCTATACCTGATCTTTTCCTATTAGAACTGTCTGCATCTGCAACAGTTTTCACAGATGCATAACATTCTTGTTTTTTAAATAGAAAGCAGCAATCCATTTGCATTACTAGAGATCATCAGATGTCCCCCAAAAGACACCACACAGTTCCTAAAACTTAAGCATATCAGATAGGTATAGATATTTTTGTCATTCCCTCATAACAACTTTATGAACAATTTCCAGCTGTGCATGTTCATATTTGTATCACAAGGAATTTCTGCTGAGTGATGTATGATTAACAATACAGGGTCCTGCCTAACAAGAAATCACAAAGAGTTGATCCACCATTTAATTTAATGCTGTTTAGCTTGTTCTAAAAACAAAGTTCTCAGTTCACATATCATTCCTGATGTTCCTGATCTTGACCAGGTATTAACCACCGGATGCTCTCTGTCCGGACAGTGGCATACATGATAAAGCTGATGAGGAACAATAAAGAAAATAAGAGAAGCCAGTCTATGCCTCTAGTCAGTGTGCTAGGCAGGGGACCATCCTGATCTTCCTCAGTTACCACCACATCAGACTTGGGCTCTATTCCTGAAAAAAAGTATTCATTATTAGTGTGGTGCAAGATTGAACAGAATCAACATTAAGTATAGATATTTTCACAAAGCACATACAATTTTAAATTTAGGACTAAGCATTTTAAACTACTGGCTGCTAGAACAGCATCAGAGCTCTGTAATTTTTGAATTATAGCCTCCTGGTGCATTAAATAAATAGGTAATTCTAACTGTAATGTAAAATATGACTCTCTCAAATTTAAGTATTTTAGTGTCATTTGGAAACAGCTCTAATTCCACCTCTCCCTGAAAATGTACCAGTACGAAAGCTTACAACTCCTATTTTAATAACAGCTTCTTAATTAGCCAACTACAATTTCAGTTGTATGTTCTTCAGCTTCCCAAGGGAAAAGCAACAGAAACTCGACTGACAAGTTCCCTTTTATGCCCAGATAAAGATCTATAAACACATTAGTAGAGGGAAAGGTTTACTGCTTTCTCTCATGAGTCAGTGGTGACCAGAGCTTGCTTATGTAAGTCTATTTCTATCTTCATTTTCTTTATTATTTGCTGCAGGATGTAAGGAAGAAATCAAAGTGGATCCCAACTTACTATCCCATCTTCTGTAGAACACATAAGACATTGAGTTTCCTCCATTGCTAACATAGGTAGGAAGAGATAACTGTTGAAACAGTTACCCTTCTCCTCTTGCATTCTCCCCATGTATCACCTACATTCTCCAGGCGATACCTATTACATTCCCAACTCTTGCTACCACACAAGAGCTGAAGGATTCTTAACCCACCTTACCAAATAGGACAGGATTTGGCTGTAATAGCATACTCAGGTGTTGAGTTGATGGCTACTCAGAGCTACTGAGAAAGAAAAGGGAGAGATTGGAATGCTTAGGGGTGCTCCAATAATTGGAAAAAAGAGTGGAAAATGGGAGAGGGCTGGAGAGAGAGAACGGAACAGAATGTCCCCTGAAACAAGGTATGGCCGGCTTGCTGTAACACCAAACAGAAGCACTCCAGATCACATTTTATTGCAGGTCCCACATGCACATTTTTACTCAGAAGCATCCCTACTGTGCTCAATAGTCCTTAGTCCCAAATCAATGTACCTGGGACATGGAGCCTTATTCTGTATTGCCCCAAAATCTCACACCCTGATTAGGGCTGAAATGTTTCCCAAAACTTTAACTCAATGTTCCTGGAGATCATACAATAAACATCTTAAAACTAGCTGTGGGTGGGAGTTGGAACAGGGAGAGTACTGTCGGACTTGGGTCCTCCCTGAAGGATTTCCATAGGCATCTGGTTGGTCATTGTAAAACAAGGATGTTGGACTAGATGGGCCTTTGGACTTATCCAGCATGTGGCTATCAGACTACAAAATCTGTTAAATGTCTTGGTTACATCCTGTTTGGACTACTGTAACAAACGCCATATGGGTCTGCCTTTGAAAAGCGTTCAGAAGCTTCATCTGGCCCAGAATGCTGCAACCAGACTGCTGACTGGTGCTGGTTCCAGGAAGCATGTTACCCCACTGTTAAAACAACTTTACTAGCTACTGGTTTGTTCCCCGTCACAATTCAAAGTGATGGCTGTAAAGCCCTATATGGCTTGGGCTCAGGCTACCCGAAATATCCCTGTATGAACCTGCCTGGGTTCTAAGACCCTTGGGTCAATACCTCCTCTTGGTCCCATCAACATCAGAAGCATGACTGGTGGTAACATGAGAGAGTGTTTTCTGCGATTCCTCCCAAATTATGGAATCTGCTCCTAAGAGAGATTAGATTGGCTTCCTGTTCAGACAAACCTTTGGAAACTAAGGTACAGATGATGCTGATCACTGGGCTGCTGTCAGGACAAATTGTATTTTAATTGTTGGTTTTAAATACACTGAAGTGCATTTTAATTATTGTTGTCAATGAGTTTCTTTTTATTATTCTGTATTATATAACTGATATTTTTAAATGTAGTAAGCTGCCTTGAATCCAAACTTGGGAGGAAGGTGGAATATAAATATAATAAATAAATGAGTAAATAAATCCTACCTGTCTGATTAAAAATGAAAGATTTCAGTGTTTCCAGGGTTCGATCTGTATGGTTAAATCTTGCCATTGGCTTAGCTCCTTGAAAAAGAAGGATGTTGGGAACAGCCACAGTTCCAAACCTGGTTGATAAACTGTAAAGATATAAGATAACAAAGAGTTAGCTTTGCTAAATATGTCTTGCATTTAACCCCATGATAAAATAACTGAGCGTTTTTCAGTACAAAATTGGAACCATAGCTAATTTCAGCAGAAGAAATATATTCATTTGGTCACAACACACTTTAGACTCAAATGGGTGCTCTAGAAAATCAATAGTATTGTTAATCAATTGCCTTCCACATATAGCCAAAGGCAATGTACAAAGTATAATAAAAACAGCTAAAAATAGTTGAAAACAGAAGTTGAGTTTAAAAACAAGACAAAGTAGACAGCCTTAGCAGAGACATATTCATCCAGCTGGGAAACTTTGTGGGAACAAAAATGTCTTCAGTTGTTTCTGCTAAGTGCTGATAATGGGTACGTGGATTAGTGTGAACTGGGCAAAATGTATGCAATTAAAACAGCCTAAATTTTGGAAAATAAATTTATAGACAAATTATTATTAAATTAAAATGCACATTTGCTTAACCCTGGTTTAAAATACATGAAGATGGTACAGTAGTCCTGAAAGGAGAGGGATATAAAAGTTACCTGCTGTGCTGAGAGGCATCCAATGCCAAAAAATGAAGAGTTGGGAATGCTCGGGGCAAAGAATTAAAATGAGGAGCCAGATTGGCAGAGAAACGGCACCAAGGAGTATAAAACAGGACTAAGGTACAGTCACTGCCATTTGGATTTAAGAACTCCATTAAATCCTGCAAGAGAAGGAGAAACGTGACTTTTTAAAGGCATAATGGGAAATTATTTAACTTAGTATTGCTCATGTTAATTATCCTGATCTCAACAAGGCAGTACAGTACTTCTACATGCAAGGTGAACTTGGTCAATTCAGGTTAAAAAAACTTATTACCTGCACAACAGTTTTAAAATTACTTAGGGGGCTTTTAACTTTCATTGCAACCATGAAGTTCAGGAGAAATCTTGACATTCACCTATTTACCACCATCAGCAGAGACACAACCCACAACCTCATCCCAGGCATAGGCCAAATTTGGCCGGCCAGGTTATTTTGGAGGACCCACAGCTGCTCACCCATACACCCACCCTACACCCAATGTCATACTGGTAACAGTGGGGCTTCCAAAGGAGCAACCAACAGCTTAAAGCAACCTCCTGGTTATTTCTTTACTGGAGCAAGGCATGTTTCTTTGCTAGAGTAAGGCATGGGCAGATAAGCATTAGGAAAGCACCTTGCTCAAGGAGGAAGAAGCAGTTTCCGTGAAATAGAAATTGCCTCTCCCTCCTAGGACTGCTCTTTGAAGCAGCCCCCATAGTCCCTTTCAACTTCCAAAATCAGAAGTTAAAAGGAGCAGTGTGTGGCAGTTTGCAGAGAGTTCAGTTTGGCTATGCACAACTGTTCCCACACCCACCTGCCAAATTTGGCTCACCAGAGGGTAGGGAGATAACTATCTGTCCTGCCAGCCAGAAAAAGTGAGGTGGTCTAAAGTGAGATGTAAGGGTAGTAGTATAAGATGCAGCCTTCAGGCTTGAGGAAAACAAATACAGAATATACACAGAATTCATCCTTTTTCTTCCTGAATAATTTTATTCAAGCAAGTTATGCCTTCCACATTTATACAAAGAATTCTGATAATAAGATGACAAATGAAAAAAACTCTTAAATTAAAATAATTTATATATATATATAAATCAATTAGAGTGCTTTCTACTTACTTGTGAAATATTCAAGATTTGTAATGTGAAGTTTGTTATCCCTGTAATGTTTCTTTCCTCACAATTCACTTTTGGGGTTTTCATACCATCTGTGCTATTAGAGTCCTCTCCTGATGAAGGATGCACTGCTTCCAGAACTACAGGTGAATCTATTACTTGCTCTTGTATAGGAGACCCAGGTTGAGATAAAAATGAAACAATACCCTGCGTACTGCATTCACCATCAACGGCTGCATCACAGGTGCCGGTGTCATGCTCCAAGACCTGTCTCTCCTTGGACTCACCTGGAACAACTGACAGAACTACAGGCTCAGCTGCAGGTATGCTGCTACCCATCATAGCATCAGCTATCTCTGCAGTCCTGTATTGTACTGATTCTTTAGGCCCATCGCTGCTTGCAGGTACAGAACTGCTTTTCACAGCGAATGGTACAGCAGTTTCACTTAACTTTTCAGATGGCGAGTCAGTGGTTTCTTCCATTTCAGCTACTGCTACAAAAAATGCAAGAACATATAACATCTTTAGTGCTGAACAATAGGAGTACATCTATCTTTATTCAACGCCACAACGCAGCAGTGGGTGGAACTTACAATCCAATGTGTGAATTGAGGGGACTCAAAGAAAGCAAACCGTTCAGTGAGGCTCACACACTGCAGCAACCACTGTCACCCTCACCTCACCATGAATACCAGCGTGGCATGAAATATTCAGTACAGTGGTACCTCGGGTTACATACGCTTCAGGTTACATACGCTTCAGGTTACAGACTTCGCTAACCCAGAAATAGTGCTTCAGGTTAAGAACTTTGCTTCAGGATAAGAACAGAAATCGTGCTCTGGCGGCGCAGCAGCAGCGGGAGGCCCCATTAGCTAAAGTGGTGCCTCAGGTTAAACAGTTTCAGGTTAAGTACGGACCTCCGGAACGAATTAAGTACTTAATCCGAGGTACCACTGTGTTGTTGATCAAAGCCCAGTGTCATTTTTTATTAAGTCTTTCTTTGTACTGTAGAAAATAGACCCCATCCAAGATATGTACAGAAAAGAAACATACAACAACAAAAAATAGAATCCTGCCACCCAAGAATACAAGTTCAACTTTGGCTACCACTCTACATATTCAGCAGGGGTGGGCAATTTCAGAATTGTTTGGTCTGCTTCCCCCCACCCCCAAATCCCCTAGGACCCGCAAGCACACTTCAAGCTTATAAAACAAGAGTACACAACACTCGATCTGTCCTTAGGCATCTGCTCCCGAGCATGCATGCAGCCTCGCTAAAGCAGCGCTTGGTTTGCTGGATCAAACGAAGCCGCACGTAGGCCTGCAAGTTTCCCAAGCGCAAGACTACATTTTACCTTCTGCCCTATCTTGTTTGTTCTCCAGAGAGAGAAACAGAAGAAAGAGGAGTTGCTTCCTACTTCTCCAAAGCATTTAAAAAAGAAGCAGCAACAAGGGGGGGCGACGCGAGCCTAGCTGGCTCGCCCCCCCCCATTCCCCACAGGTGCACGAAGGAGGCGCGCCGCCTGTCCTCAGCATCTCCACTCAGCTGCCCCTTCCCCTGGCGGTGCTACCATAGCAACGGAGCCCTCCTTACCTGCAAGAAGACTTGCGATCAGCCAGGCCAGCCAGAGGCCCCGCCCCCGCCCGCGCGAGGACAAGACCATCATCCTCGCAAGGGAGGGGGGAGCCGGGAGAGGGGGGCAAGGAAAAGACCCGGCGGATCAACCGGAAAACAAGGTCCAGTCCAAGAACAGCCGCTTCCGCTCTCCACTCGTTTCCGTTTCCGGGGCACCACGAAAACAAACAAACTCTATGGAGCTTGAACAATCCTTTTGTCCGCTGGCGGACCGGATGTCCTGACTGTTTCTCTCGAGGACCCGACTGTGCCTCGTTCGGCGGCAGGCGGCAGTGCAGAAAGCCAAGACCTTGCCCTTGTCATGATTTGCCAGCGCTGTATCTGTCTACCCCGTTTTCTAACTGTTGTGCAGGAAGAAATAAAGTGCCTGTATTGCAGATTGGGGTGGCTGGGGAAACCCAGCCGGATGGGCGGAGTATAAATATTATTATTATTATTATTATTATTATTATTATTATTATTATTATTATTATTATTATTATTATTTAGTTCAGTTTATCTGCCACCAACTTACGAGGGTGGGAAGAGAGTTCGACTGAGGCAGAGAGCTCCTGGCCTTGGTACTTTTGTCTCCCCAGCACAGATCTAAACTAAGGAGAGCTCGGATAAAAATCGGGATTTTCCTTCCCTGTGGCAATCCCCATAGAGATCCCCGAGGCGGCTGCCATTTTTACCGTGGGAGGAGCCTTTGTGATAATCGATTTGCCTGTGGCTTGCCACCTTGGGTCTGTCCGGAAACGGAATCCAAACCAGACGAGGGGCCGTCTAAAAGGGACGGCTCGAAACCGGGCGTCTCCCCGATACATGAGGCAACCTGAAAGGAAAAGGAAGCATAGAACGGCGCAGCTCTGGCTGCATGGGAAATGCAGCCTGTAGCGGTCGCTATAGGGCTGCTAAATGCATAGGAAGGAAAAAGAACAATACCCACTGCCGACGCCAAGCAATAACAATGAATTTACGATAGTTGGCGCAAATTGAAAGTGTTTAAAGCATTAAACCAAAATCGATTCCGCAGCACCCTGCAACCTGAGGCGGCAACATTGTTTACAACCCGCAGAATACTTTGCCCAGCCTCCAGGCGAGTATTCAGCTGCAGAGGCAATTATTTATTTACGGTAATATAGTCCTGCCTTCTACTGATTCGACGGAAGCTGATGTTAGTTTGATCTAGCTTGAACGCCTCCCCCTAATTAAGACACAGCAATAACATCTTCATACAGTTTGGGGCTCTGTAAATGGGTTGCAGTATCAGTGTCATAGAAGAGTAGAAGTTCCTAAAGTTGGGTTCATTACAGCAGCAGCAGCAGCAGCAAAACACCTGCTGTAAGGAGATTCAATTTCTGCACCCAGACAACAGTAGTAAACATTTCGGATATTGAATGCAATATGAAATTACATATTCGGATATTGAAAGGTAACGTGGTCTACTTCTAAAACATACCACTGCAATAATGCAGATCTTTCGGAATGTGATAAAGCAGAAGAAACTATGACCAGTGGTTACCTAACACAGCTTATGCCTTTAGGTAGGCAAGTAGAGCTCTTTAGTAGAGATGTTAAAAATGAACTTTTTACATGCAAAATATGTTCCTTTTCAGTGAACTAGGAGCTTTGTCTCTTAGGACACTAAGCTAAGGCTGCATACACACCATACATTTAAATCACATTTAGCACACACTGCCTCCCCCCCAAAAAATTCCTGGGAACTATAGTTTACCCCTCAAAGAGCTAGCATTCCCAGCACTCTTAACAAACTAAAGTTCCCAGAATTCTTTGAGTGAAATAATCTGCTTTAAATGTATGGCTATTTTATGTGCTTTGACAATATTTCCTGTCCTCAGTATTATTATGAAAGAAAAATACGGTAACTTCTAAGAAATACTGTTGTGATAATATTAAGGAACCCAATTTATTTGGTTATTTCTACCCCACATTATACTGGCTAGGATCTGACCAATAGTGGCCACACTTAACCTGTAAAATGCTCAGTTATTCCAACATGGAGCTAGCAGAACCGATTTGATTCTAATATTTGAAGCTGCTGTAGTCCTCATGTGTAAGCAATGTTCTAGAGTGACATGACTAAAGGACCCCTAGATTATCCCAAAGATTCACCCACTGTGTTGTGCTGATATCTATGCTAATTAGCCTTTATTCTAATTATATTACCGTATTGGCCTGAATATAAGCTGCACCTTAAAAATTCAAGGGGGGGGGGAGAGAGGAAAAAGACAATACCCAAATATAAGCCGCTCCCTTAAAATTCTGCTGGCACTCACACCTGTTCCATTTTACCGTATGCGTTTCAGCAGTGATATCGTAAAAGCCAGTTTTTATAAGGTCACGTATTTAAGCCACACTTTAACTTTTCACAGTCGGGATTTGGGAAAGAAGTGAGGCTTATATTCTGGCCAATACGTTATATAGAAATAACTTCCAATGGACAGTGAGGCAAAATATAGGAACTTATTTTACAGACATTTGAAGATCATAACTTTGTGGTACAGGCTTACAGCATTACATGCAGAAGATCCCAGGTTCAATACTCAGCATCTCCAGGTAGAGTTGGGGAAGAACCCTGCCTGAAATCCAGTTAGTGTAAACAATACTGCGCTACATAGACCCATGGTCTGACTCAGCATAAGATAGTTTTTCATATGCCTATGATAATTCCAAAGCCTGCATACAAAAATGATTATCATAGAATCATAGAGTTGGAAGTGACCTTGAGGGTCATTCAGGAATCCTGCCCACAGCTGTCCCTGTGTAGGCTCAAACCACCAACCTTCTGTTTAACAGTCAGACACACTAAAGTTAAACCATTTGTGTTACCTCAAGTGGTTTGTCTGGTCTATGTGCTCATGTGTGGGCACGCTGCTGCATATTGCTCTGCAGTTGGAGTAGGGAAACTTTGGCCCTCCAGATGTTACTAAACTAGCATGCATGGCCAATTATCAGGTTTGCATGTGCTATCTTCCTGAGTCTTGCATGTGTGCTTGCTCATGTTTGCATGTGATGTTCTCAAGATTATTGGGTGGGGGGTAGGAGACAGACAGACAGACAAACAGATAGAATGAAGGGCTGCCATGACCATGCATTGCAGGGGGTTGAACTAGATGATCCTTTGGGTTCCTTCCAACTCTACAGTTCTCTGATTCTATTATTTGATTTTATGTCACTGGTTTGGCTCACTTCCTCAAGTGTGTTGTTCTATATCTCATCTCTTTTGATATCTCTGCTATGTTAACTTACAGTAATTTTCAGTCTCAGGTAAGGACTGAATTCCAAGGCTATTGTCTCAGCTTTACTTCCTCCTCTCCAGACAGCTAATCAAATGGAACTAAAGGACAAACTAGGAACATACTAAAAACATCAACCATATGAAGATGGCCTACCTTGCAGGGGCAATATCTAATTACTGAGATATTGTGACTTTCAATACTTTATATCACTGCAGAGTTATGTATTATAGACAAGTCATCACAATCATCAGCCTTAGGTTAATTCAATTCCATTTTCAAAAAATATCCATTAAAAACAAAAAGCTATTTTAGGATCAAAATGCTTTTCTAAGTACCGTATTTTTCGCTCTATAACACGCACCCAACCATAACACGCACATAGTTTTTAGAGGAGGAAAATCCGTAGGCATGCCACCCGTAGGCATTCCCTCCATAACACGCACAGACATTTCCCCTTACTTTCTAGGAGGAAAAAAGTGAGTGTTATGGTGCAAAAAATATGGTAAGTACAACGTAAGAGCCTGTAGAATGCATTTTTCTGCAAGCATGACTCGTTAGTTAGGGTAGAGTGGCTTAACTTGCAATTGCCTTGCTTTTTGGCACATGAATTAAATTCCTAAGCATGTAAAATATTCTCTTAAACCAAAGTTTGTTTGATTGTTTTATCCAAGAACAAATATAATGGGATAGATGCAGCAAAGGAACATGAATAGTCCATAGATTATTGTTTAAACTTATCTAGGGAAGCATATGAAACAACCTACTTTAGCACTGTTGGATAACCAGACTCTCATACATCATCTTTCTTTTCATAGCTACCCAGCAGACTTGAAATGGCCCAAATTCAGTGCACTTTAATGTAAAATTTATGAGAATTCCGAAACAGAATAGAGTTGCCCGCACACTGTTTGCAATTGTATGTTCCATATAAACTAGGTTTTGTATTTATTTCTGCCATGACAAAAAGATTTAACATTCATTAGATGGATATTATGCCAAAGAAGCCAGAAAGTGGTACAGAAAGATACCCATTTGCCTTTAGACTCTGTTAACAATCTAAAGTGCTCTCACTTGCAAGTTATATTTTGCTTTCAATCTTTGGAAGATTTTACAATGACATAACTTACAGCAAACTTAGAATGTAGGTTACTGTAGATGAAAAAAAAACTCTGAGTCTATAGAATATCCTTTTGGTATTACTTAAACATAAAGAAGAACCCTGGAAAAATGCAAAAGAAAACATGCCTTAGAAAAAGAAAAAGCCCTTTTATCCAGGCACTTGATCCTGGAAATTATAGGTTTGTTTAAGGCAGGTTTGGTTAGCAGTTGTAACTTGCAGTTTATCTATTTGAAAATTAGTCTGCTTCATTGGGATCAGAAACTCATAGGTGATAATTGCCATTTAAGATCATGGGTGGGGAGCTTGTGGCCCTCCAGATGTTGCTGAGCTCCAAATCCCATCAACCCCAGGCAACATGGCCATGCTCTTAAATATCTCTTTCAATTGTTCACATTATTGGCAATTTGCTTTTTGGACACGAAGCACGCATAATTATCTTTTATCTGCTGCGTGTCTCTGTCCCACCATGAAATGCAGTGCTTGGGCCCAAAAAAGATGTTCAGTTTTGATCCACACTCTTACATGTCCATGCATAAATGATATACTTGGTGAATGCCTTCCCATCTTACATTGGAGATGGGACCCATATGGGATTTGATCTTCTGTTGAAGTAAGTTCATTTGGATTCAATTCATGGTGTTTATGGAATATTAAGTAACTTATCCTGAAACAGTTAACCAACAGCTGTGATCTGCATAAAAAGGTGGGGGCTGCTTTCTGCTATTTTTTAAAAAACCATAGAATGGTTTCTGCCCCCACCCTATGTACCTGAATGATAACTTAAGGTGCAGTTTTTGACATT